GATAGTTCTGATGATTGAATAGAGAAGTGGTGATTTTTAGGCCAGGGTTGAGATTATCAGTCATAATAAAAGGTAGAAGGGAGCTCTCGCTCTTAAGCGACTGAGAAGTTGTTGACTCACTAGTGAACTCTGCCATGAGTATTCTACTAAAGAAACTTCAAACCCAAGGCTAATCACAAACTCGGAAGATAATAGTGGAAGGAAAGACATAACTCACGCTATGAAAGCATATAGCCTATGAAAGCATAAAGAAGAAAAGAAAACTGTTTTTTGTTGTTGTTGTTGTTGTTGTTGTATACAGAGACAACAAGAACAAAGACGACTAGTTACATGCGTGAGGCTAGCCGACCAACCAGGGAGCACTGAAGGCCCTAGTCGACCACCTAGGAAGCCACGACGGCCCTAGTTGAACAAGTTAGTGCTGTCGATGAGCCTGGGCAATCCTGCGGTGGAAGAGAGAAGCTGTCGACATACCCCTAGAAGGCCAGAGGGGCTGTCGACTAGGCCTAAGAGGCTGTCTAGAGGAACAGGGAGGCTGCTAATGGACTGAACAAGAGTGTGGGAGGTTCAGATTGACTGTAGGGGGCCTGGGTGATAGGCTCGAGAAGTCGACTGAAAGAGGTGACTGCCGACAGAGGTATGGGCTAGGGTTTTTGGCTCTAATAACATATAGTTTTGGAGAAGAGAAAGAGTTAAGGAATGAGTTGGACTTCATTCCCTTTTATATTGACAATTCCGAGTAATTGTAGGAGTGCCATACGACATAATATAAGGAAACAAAATCACACAATTACATATTTCTTATTCTAACAGGGATTACTTAAAGAGTGTTTATCAGCAATCCAACTTTGCTAAGCGGTACGAGTTGGAAGCAGCTATTCAAGGAGCTCGTCAGCGGGATCTGTCTATTCAGGATTTCTGTATTGAAATGGTAGGTCTTTGAGATTAGTTGGCTCTTATGGAACCTTCCAGCCTCAAGGTTCTAGATGCTTATATTGAGTTTTGAGAGCATGGTCATTTAGTGTAGTTCTTAACGGCTCTCTCCCTTCAATATGAGGCTATTCGTGGTGGCATCCTCCACCAGTCTCCTCTTTCCTCTGTGGATGCCACTGTTCATGAGCTTCTCTTCGAGGAAACCCGTCTTAAAACGACCAGTCAGACTTTGTCTCCATCTGTCTTCATAGCTCCTGCTCAACCTCCACTATTATCGATCCCACCGGTTCAGGCCACTGCCAAGCCCAAGAAAGGGCCATTGGCTTTAGATGAGTGTGCTTTCTACCATCAGAGGGGCCATTGGAAGCACAACTGTCCCAAGAAGGGACGTCAGACACCTCAGACACCTCAGACAAAGTTTCGCAGTCCTACTCCGAGTACTTTCCGGCCTCCTACCACTTATGCAGCATCTGCTCCTCCCGATCCTGACTTGGCTTTCTTAATTGCTCAGATTGCTCAACTTCAGCAAATTATGTCCACCTCTCAGCCATCACCATCTGCCTCCGCTCTTACCTCTTTTCATTCAGGTTTGCTTGGGTCTTCCTTCAGTATCCCTTCTTCTCTCTGGCTTTTTGATTTTGGTGCCTCTCATCATATGACTCCTCATCTTTCCTTAATTCGAAACTGTAGTCCCCTTCCTGTTTCTATTACTATTAATATTGCTAATGGGTCTGGTATGTCTGTTGTGTTGTGTGTATTGAGTTTATCTTACCCTCTGCCATGTCTGCTGTTATTATTCCCTCTGTTTTTTATGTTCTTCAGCTATCTATCAACTTATTATCTATCAGCCAACTTAATGCTTCTGGTTTTGATGTTATATTTTCTTCTTCTGTCTGTTGTGTGCAGGATCAGGTGTCCAAGAAGCAGATTGAGACCGACCGTAGAGTTGGAGATCTTTATGTGGTAGAAAACTTACATCTCCCTTTATCCACCTCTCCAGTTGCACTTTCCTCATTTTAGTTAGATTCTCAGTCGAGTCAGTTTTATTTATGGCATTCTCACTTAGGTCATTTGTTTGTCGACCGCTTATGGTCTTTAGCTCAGCCAGGATTTTTGGGTAAAGTTTCTTCTAGTACTATTAATGAATGTCAGGGATGTAAACTTGCCAAAATGTTAGCTTTACCATTCAATAAAAGTACTTCTATTTATGTTTTTCCTTTTTCTCTTGTGAATATGGATGTCTGAGGACCCTCTCCTATTCTTATTAAAGGGGATTCTGCATACTATGTGTCTTTTGTGGATGATTGCACCCACTATACTTGGGTTTACCTTATGATTCATAAATTTGACTTCCACCAAATATATTGTACCTTTCAGTTTATGATCACTACACAGTTTGGGTCTACCATTAAATTATTACGGTCTGACTTAGGTGGGAAATATTTTAAAATTGAGTTCTGTGAGTATCTGTCAAATTTGGGTACCATTCACCAAACCTCTTGTATTGATACACCCGCCCAAAATGGTCGTGCTGAGCGTAAATACCGTCATCGTCTTGAGAAAGCTAGATCTCTCCTTCTTTCTGCCTTTGTTCTAGCTCCCTTTTGGGGAGAAGCCATTCTTACAGTTGCTTTTCTTCGTAACTATATGCTTACTCCCCTATTGTCTGGTCGTTCTCCTTATGAGGCTCTGTTTTCTCAACTTCCTAATTACTTTTTCCTTCATGTTTTTGGGTTTGCGTGTTTTGTTTTTCTTTCCTGAAAAGATCGAACAAAACTCAGTGCTCGGTTTGACTTGTGTGTCTTTTTGGGTTACAGTCTTACTCAGAAAGGTTATCGTTGTTACAATCTTATTTCCCGTCGCCTCTATGTCTCCCGTCATGTTGCCTCTCTGGAACGTCTTGCTTATTTTCAATTTCCACTTCTCACTGCTCCAATTTCTAAAGAAGACTTGGTTCACATTAATCCGTTTCCTTCTGAGGTCCCTCCTGCTAAGTATATCTCTATTGTTTCCCCTGAGCTTGTTCCTTTTTCTCCTCTTAACATTCCTCTTGTTGAGTCTCTCTCTATTGTACCCCATGAGTCTGTTTCCTCCTCTCCCTCTCTTCCCCTGCCGGCTCCTTCTCCTCCTTCGTTGTTAGTTTATTTGCGTCGCAAGGCTCTTCCTCTACCAGTTAACTCTGTCCCTGCTACTATTCCTCTTACTTTTGATCTTGCTCTCCGTAAGTATCCCCTTCGCATTCGTAAACAGATAGTTAAACTTAGTTTTTCTAACACATGTTTTTCTCCTTCATATTGTACATTTTTGTCTGTTATTCACTCTTTTTTAGAACCTTGGTCTTACAAGAAGGCTTGTCAGGATCCTAATTGGATTCAAGCTATGGAGGATGAGTTGTCTGGCTTACAGAAAACTAGTACTTGGGAACTGGTTCCTTTGCTTGCTGGCAAGAATCTTATTGGTTGCAAATGGGTCTATAAAATCAAGACTCATTCTGATGGTTCCCTTGAGCTCTATAAAGCTCACTTGGTTGCCAAAGGTTTCTCACAGGAGTATGACATTGATTATAAGGAAACCTTTGCACCAGTTGCTAAGATGACTATTGTCCGTACTTTGATTTCTGTTGCTGCTATTCATCATTGGCCTCTTTATCAGATGGATGTTAAGAATGCTTTTCTTTATAGCCATCTCACTGAGGAGGTATACATGTGTCCTCCCTCTGGCCTTCCTCATTCCACTGGACAGGTTTGTCAAGCAATCTCCTCGTGCTTGGTATGATTGCTTTTAGACGGCTGTTACTGAGCTTGGGTTCCATCTTGTTCCCACGACTCTGTTTTGTTTCTTTTCCACACCTCTGCTAGTTTTGTTTCTTTATTACTGTATGTGGATGATATGATTATCACTGGCTCTGACTCTTCTGCTATCTCTGAGGTCAAGCAACATATTTCCGCACTTTCGAAATGAAGAATCTGGGACCTTTGAGGTATTTTCTTGGTATTGAGATGGCTTCTTCTCCCAAGGGCTATTTTTTGTCTCGGGCCAAGTACGCTAATGAGGTTATTCACCGTGTCAGTCTTTTTGACACTAAGATTTCTGATACCCCCATTGAGCTTGATGTGAAGCTCTACACTGTTGATGGTGTCCCTCTGAATGATCCCACTTTATATCGCGAGCTTATGGGTTGCTTTGTCTATCTGATGGTTACTCGCCCTGATCTTGCCTATGCTGTTCATGTGGTTAGCCAGTTTGTTTCTGCTCCGCGCTCTGCACATTGGACTGCTTTGGTTCAGATTCTTCGCTATCTTCACGGTACTATCTTCCAAGGCTTGCTGTTATCGTTTACTTCTTTCTTGGAGTTAGTGGCTTATGCTGATGCTAATTGGGCTGGTGATATTACCGATCGAAAGTTCATTTTTGGTTTCGGTATGTTTCTTGGCAATTCCTTGATCTCTTGGAAAAGCAAAAAACAAACTGTTATTGCCTATTCTACTACTGAAGCAGAATACCGTGCTATGACTCATGTTACTGCTGAAATTGTCTGGCTTCGTTGTCTTCTCTTTGGCTTAGGCGTCCCTCAGTCTTCTCCGACTTCTCTTTATTGTGACAACTGCAGTGCTATTCAAATTGCACATAACACTGTCTTCCACGAGCGGACCAAGCACATTGAGATTGATTGTCCCTTTGTCCATTAGCATCCGCAGTCTGACTCTATCTTGTTTCCTTTCGTCTCCTCGGCTCTACAACTTGCTTTCTTTACCAAGACTCACACCACTGCATGGTTTTAATTTCTTTTTGGCAAACTCTCAGTGTTTTTTGCTAAAACACCTTGAGTTTGACCGGGGGTGTCAAAATATTGTGTATATATGTATGTATGGTAGTGTATTGTGATATATGATAGTTGAATTGTGATATATGGTAGTATGTTTTCTTTTCCTTATTAGTCTTAGGATTAGGAATACATCGTTTCCTTCTTTGTCTTTGGGTTAAGAGGTCTATATAAACAGTTGTATCCTTTGTATTATGAGATCAATTGAATATACAGAATACAAAAAACTTACAGTAGTATGCTCTTGACTTACTTTGTTGTAGCTAGTGAATTGAAATGACAAATTGCATGCAAATTGGTATCATATATCAATTGCTACAATTTTATAGGAAGGGATACAATTGCTACAATTTTATAGGAAGGGATACAATTACTTTACCAGTTAGAAAAAAGAACAGTTTATGACTGTTGCAACTTGAAGTGCTTGCAGCAACGTTGTGTTGCCTGCTGTGATGCTGATGATCCAATGTAGATGTATGGGACATGGGATATCTTTTTCCGGTCTGCTCCTCTGCCCTTGCATCTTTCCTCAAGGTCAGGACAATCTCTAATGGAAAAATGCTGGAGTGCATTGAGACGTTCTAGACCTTTTGGCAAACACTTCATATTCTGACAATCGGTGATTGCCAATGATCGAAGAGAAATGAGGTTCTCCACCCAATCTGGCAAATCCATGAGGTTTGGACAGCTGCAAATTTCCAGGTTCTGCAAAGTCTTGATGTATTGTAGTCCTTCTGGTAGAGATGCCAGTACTTGACAGCTTAATATACTAAGACTTCGGAGTACTGAGAGATGCTGCAGTTCATCGGGTAAATAGGGCAGATTTGGACAATACATGATTGTCAGGCGCTCAAGGGCTGTGAGGTGCTTTATTCCCTTTGGCAGAGAAGCCAGGTTATTGCAGTTCTCTATAGAAAATGATCGAAGGGAATGCAAGCCCTGAATGCCTTCCTCTGGCAAAGAGACTAAACTATGGCACTCCGTGATTTCCAAAGACTCCAGAGAGGTAAGGTTTCTAATCTGCTGTGGCAGAGCAGATAGTTCTTCACACCAGCGTAAAGTCAATGACTTTAAAGCTCCAAGGTTTTTCAAATCCCATGGCAGTGAACTAAGTTGTTGGCAAGAGCTGATTGTCAAAGATGTAAGAGGACTGTTCTGCAACAACCCTTGTGGTAGGTGCAATAGCTCTGGAAAGGAGTCAATAATAAGAGTGGAGAGTGAATTTAGCTCTGCTGCTGACCTGAGTACCCTAGCATTGCAGTTTCGCAGCTCCAAATGTTGAAGAGTTGGAAACCGTGGCATGGTTTCGAGTCTAGGGCATTCAATGATGGTTAGTTTCTGCAAGCAAATTAAGGCATCTTGTGAATCCTCACTCTCCCATGATTGTAAACTGGGAAAATCTTTGAGGGTTAGTTGCTCCAGTGAAGGAAATGCAGTTCCTCTACCTTCTATGCCGTAGAACTCACTACCAATGCTCGCCGCTGCATCTAGTCCTTGCATGTTGAGAACCTTGAGGAAAGGAAGTTGCCCGAGCGTAGGAAGCTTTTCACATCTTCTGCAGTTGTTCAAAACTAGCTCTGTAAGATTAGGAAGCATGATGTCGTTCATCCATTGTGGAAACACGGCTCCCGAGTAGCCATTTAGAATTAACTTTCTCAAAGTGTTGTTGGGTTTCAACAAGTTGAGCAGAGTCTCCGCGTGGATATGATCCGTATGATGCCCTTCTAAAGGTTGCCTCGATGGAGAATGATCCGACTTTGCCTCATTATCCCCCCATGATAATCCCAGTGAGTGAAGCTGCTTTTGCTCCAAACACAGGTCTGGTACTATACTACCAACATTCTCCAAATGCTTGATTTTTAACTCACCACGCAGGTCTAGATGCACAAGTTGGAAAAGGCTCTCATCAAATGCTGGGCCAACAATAAAAATTGGCAAGGTCTGCAAATTCAGTAAACTTCTCATAGATGCCGGAATACGGGTGAGTCTCGTGCAGTCCTTTATAATCAGATGTCTCAGGTTTATCAATCGTGTTATCCCATTTGGCAAATTCATCAAATTATGGCAGCCTGAGAGATCCAGCGTCTGCAAATTGCAGAGGTTCTCGATTGTATTAGGTAAAGTTTCCAAAAGGGTGTTAGAGAGATCAACATACCTCAAATATATCAAGACACCAATTGATTTATGCAGATTCCTGATCCCACACCCTCTTAAATCTAGCACTCTGAGGCGTTTAAAGACTGCAGCTATGATCGGTAGGGCTTTGTCAGAGTCCTTTGTTGGAGAGAAAAATCTGAGAGTTCTTAATTGCTTTGCTGCGTACAAAGCTTCAGGAACCCTGTAAGACCAAAAATTGCAGAATATTGATGCATGGCGAGTTTGGGCAAGATTACTACTTGGGTCTGATGAGTGATGAACTTTTGCAGGCTTGACAGAAGCATCATCCTGATCTAGCATCAGGAACTCATTACCTGCGACAAATTTTGCAAGGTCGTGAATGAGATCATGCATTGTAAACTCTGATGAATTGCTGTTATCATATTTATTTACAGCTTCAAAGAAAGACATCAACAGCAAATCATTGAAATATTCGTTGCCAGTGTCCTCCATCTTCTTGGTAGAATAAGTATCACCAGACAACTGAATCAAGCCTTCCGCAATCCACAGGCGTATCAACTTTTCCTTGCTGATCTCAAAATTCTTGGGCAATGCTGAGCAGTATGCAAAGCATCGTTTCAGATGTGATGGCAAATGGTCGTAACTCAACCTCAAAACCGAAAAAATTCTGTTCTCTCCTTCATCCAGATTCCATAGTTCGCTCTTCTGCACATGTAGCCACTCACTTTCCTCTCTTTTGAAGCGCATCAAACTTCCAAGAATCTTGGCAGCTAAAGGCACCCCTCCACATTTCTTGACAATATGTTTCCCTATCGGCAGCAAGTTTGGATATCCTCGCTCCTCTCCTGACTCAAAAGCTCGTTGCTTGAACAAGGTCCAGCATTCATCTTCGCTTAGAGCTTCCAATGTGTAAGGGTGCATTGTTTTCATTATTGATGAAACTCTTTTGCTGCGGGTGGTGATTATAATTTTGCTTCCATCTGCACCATTTCTCAATGGATATCTCAGTTTCTCCCATTCGTCTTGATCATCGGTCCATACATCATCCAACACGAGAAGGTATCGCTTCCCACACAAGGATTCAAACAGTTGAGACTGTAGTACACCTATTTGTGAGGACTCATGGTTTTGTTTAGTTGTGTACTCCAGAATTTCATTTATGATCTTTCTCGGATTAAAATTATCATACACTGACACCCATATTCTTAGATCAAAATGACTTTCCACCCTTGGATCATTATATGCCAATTGAGCAAGAGTTGTTTTTCCAATTCCCCCAATTCCAACAATTGGAATCACTGAAACACTGACTGTGTCAGTGTTCGTGGTGGCCGACAGTAAAATATTTACTATTGCATCCGCGTCCTTTCTTCTACCACAAACCTCTGATTCATCTATATGAGGTCCTGTTTGTCGTCGTTCTATCATATCAGACCGCTCATACACCATTCTCTCCCTGAACTGGAAGTTAGACATCTCTCTTGCTATATCATCCAACCTCTCTTGAATCGTTGTCAGCTTACGAGGCATAACATAGTAGTTTGAAACAGGCTCAAGAGCTAAGCAAACCATCGGTACCTTCTTTTTCTTCGTCTTTCTTTGGAGAAACTGGGTGGTGACCTCGTCCAGAAGGTCATCAATGTCGTAAACCACATCTTGAAGCTTTCTCAGCCAGACCTTAACCTTCTTATCCTTGAGCTGTTGTTCTTCTGCATCTTCGATGACTGCTCGAATCACAGGCAGGGCAGCTTTCAGCTTCTCGAGCTTTTTCCGGTAGTGGCTGCTGAACTGAAGCTTCATCAGAACCTGTGAAGCAAGTTTTTCGAAGATCACCTGTAGAAGGGGTGATATTACTATTTGAGCCATGACACACAGCTTTTGCAAATTTTAGGGTGTTCTGTTCGGTTGCTGTGAAAACAAAAGCAAGTGATGAAGCTCTATGATTGACAGGGTTAGTGCCATCATTCTACCAGGGAAATTGCTAATCTTCATCTTTGTAGCTTCTTGGAAATTGTCTATAAGGAGTATGGAATTGGTCATAATCATAAGCACCAAAGTCTTTGGACGTTGCTGGGAAATTTTAAATTTTTATTTTCTAAAAGAGTAGACTTTTCTCGAGTCATGGAGGTTGATTGGACAATCCAATCTGTCATTTTGTCAAGAACCGAGGTGTTGGTTTTGATGATCTGAACCGGATCATTTTTTAGTCATGTGTATAGATTATCCATGAAAAAAAGTCAATATGATAATCCTAGTCATATATTTCATTATATTTGTTTTAAACCAAAAAGATAGATGGAAGAATGATTTTGATAGTATTGTTAATCTTTTTGAAAATAAATATAATGAAATCATGTGGCTATGATTATTGGATAGATTTTTTTTTTTATAATTTTTTATGGATGATCTACACACTAAACTAGGAAATGATTAGATTGGATCATCAAAACCAGCAATGACGCAGCGACTGTTGCTTCTCTCCTACTGTCTGAAAGAAAGAAAACAAAATGATATGTTTTATAACATGAGTCTAATTGATCTCTCTTGTTTTCTAAACATTCTTGAAAGTTTTCTACCATGTACAGGATATCGAAAAGACTTGGATTTATAATATTTCGAGTCATGAAATCAACTAATATGTAATTTGGGTAGAAAGGGACTACAACCCATCAATAAAATCAACCAACGAAACTTCTTTCAGCTGAAAGTCAGTACTTGAAATTGTGAGGGTTCTGTGCAGAGAAACTTTTGTGCATGAAACAAAAAAACTTTGCAATAATCTTTGGCCAATGTTTCTGCTTATACACATTCATCGATTTTTGACTTTTTGGGATTTGCCACTCAACAGACTTGGAGCATTTCTAGCAATCTCAATCAAAATATCTAGTAAAAAATACCACTTCATTAAGTAGGTAGTTATTGTACACAATTATTTGAGTTAGTTTCTTGACTAGTCTTCTGGAGGGATTTTTCTTGAATTTAGTGAGCTCTTTTACCTAAACTAATGTTTAGCTTGCCTTCTTGTCTTTGTTGGCCAAATTAGAAACTGTATAGCACACTTGCTCGCTAAAACACAGACTTTTCTTCTTCAATGCAACGACACTTGACAAGATTTCGAAGTTCACGTAAAGGACACATCTTTGCTCCTTGTATTTTTATTTGTTTTGAAAAACAATCTGTTCATGGTGTAATTTGTTGGATATTTTGTTGTTGATGCTAAGTAAAATTTTGAGATTGATTTGGATTTGTTATTTTTTTAAGTGAGATCTATATTTAAGCATAGGGGTCGGTTGTTCAAGCATAAATTTTTATATGGACCCAAACTATCTCTTGTTTGCTCGCCAATTGTTCAATAATTGTTCCGTTTTAGTCTTTTTTTATTGGAGTAATGTACTACATAATTCGCTGGTAGTGTATAGAATTTTTGCATAAGAATAATGTGATAATGTCATTTGTGTTATTAAATGCATCTTCAATGGTCTATTTGTTCTAAATTGATAGGTTCAAGGCATCGGCAATTTGAGAGAAGACACTTGCAAAGTAAGTGGGTTTTGAATTATTTACCAAAATACCAAGTGATACAGGCTTCATATGAGGTATTCGTCAAAAAATATCTTGCTAATTGGTCAATTTTACTTTGTTGTTACAACTGGGAACTTTGTTGGTAGATAATTGGTTCATCATTTATTTGATTTATTGATTTCATCATATGTACTGTATTTAACTTTTTATATTTTAAAAATTAAGTTGCGATGTTTCTTTTCTATTGATCCAGTGTTAATAAAATTGATGAAAATTAACACGTGGCATACATAACATATGTCTCGCCTCAATAGCACTACATTTTTGCTAAATTTAATTTGGTCTTTTACATTTTCATCACAAAAAAGTTACTTAAATTAAAACAAGGTAATACTTAAATTTGACTTAAATTATAAGAAGATGATTATAAAAAAATGATAAGATTAAGTAAGATTTTAAAAGTACAAGACGACATCTTCTTCCATTCCAGCTATGGTTTCGGAGAGTAGATCAAAACATCTAAGTTGTTAGACTATCTCCAACGTTTCACCACACCTGACATCAAATTTAAAATTTGGTGAAAAAGTCACTTTTTTGAGCTCCAACGGTTTCATCAAATCGATATCAAATCGAGAATTCACCAAACTTTTTACCAAAATGAGAACAGGCGCAGCATTTCACCAAATCACTGTTCCTGACCGTTGGGGGAAATCAGCCGGTCGACCACTAAAGGGTTCAAACAGTTCAAAAAAAAAAATTCAAACAGTTAAAAAAAAAAAATTTTTTTGCCTTACCGGTCGACCAGTCAGTTGATCGGCCGGTCGACCAACCAGTTGTCTCGGTGCAAATTTGATGAAAATTTGATTTGATGAACCATTGGAGCCTTCCATATCAGAATGAGAAAAAAGTCATTTTTTTACTCAGATTTGATGAAAATTTTGATGAACCGTTGGAGATGCTCTTATGAAAATTAGTTATTTTACTTAATTTTTTAATTATGTTAATAAAAAAATATATAAAAAATAAAAAAATAATTGAATTTTTTATAATAATTTTTTAACCTTTTAATTATTTTAGTATGTTACCAAACGTGTCAATTGTCTTCCAGGCAATTGAGAACAAGATGAGTCAATTTCTATTGTATGGCTTATAAGACTAAAGAGCATCTGTAGTAAGGATAGTCAAAATAACTATTCAAAATTTCACTTTACTATTTTAGTTAGTCATTTTTTTAATATACATTCTATCAAGGCTATTTACTTTAGCTATCTTCTATTAAAATATTCTTAGAGCATCTCCAGCAATCCTCACCAAATTAATTATCCAAAATTTCACTTTATTAATTTGGCTAACCATTTTTTCAATACACATTCCAACAATACTCTTTACTTTAACTATCCCCTTTAAAATATTATTTCTTTCAACTTTACTCATATATATATATATATATATATATTAATATATAAATTTGTAAATAGTTTGATCATCATTGACACATAAGAAAAAAGTAATAAAAAAAATATATAGCACAAGAACAGTTCCTCGCTTCAAGTAGCTAACAATTGTTGCTCGTATCAAATTGTTGAAGTATCTGATGAGGCTGTTAGAGGTCTCTTTTTATGCTTTGGCTTGCTACTTTGGTTGAAAATAGGATATAGCAAGGCTCTTGGAGATGCTCTTAGTGATGATGGAGGCGTGTGTGATTTACCCCATTAATATTCAGAAATCACCACATAATCCCCCTGTGGTTGATGGACTAAAATGCACTGTTAACTTTTTTATCTAAGATAACAGAATGTGAAAGTCATGTGTCTCTACGGGGAGTGAGTCCATTTTTATGACGAAAATACTCTTTCTACCTCTTCAAATTTACAAAAGATGCCATTATATTTTCAACCTTCTTTTTCTTCATCTCTTCTCTCTCTCTCTCTCTCTCTCCTCCCCTCAAACCACCACCCATATCCATCCTCTCTCACAGGATGAACAAACACATCTCTGATCAATTGAACAACCACATCTTTGAACAGACACATTTTTGATCATGTGTACATATATATATATATATTTTGATCATGTGCATATATACATATACATATACATATACAAATCCAAATCTATTTAATTTTTATTTTTATTTTTGGATTGAAGAGATTTGAAATTCCTTCTATACATATACATATTTGAATACATATATTTGATCAGAGATTAAAATGGGTTTGGATTTGTATATATTTGTATACAAATACAAATCTAAACCCATTTTAAATTTTTTTTTTTTTTTTGATTGAAGAGAATTGAAATTCCTCTTGTATGGCTTGTCGATCTCCAATGAAGTGGAGAACTTCATCTATAACCCCAGCCACTTCAGAGCCATCTATTCTTGATTTATTCAAGTCTATTTTTGGGTAAAAAAATTAGGCTTTTGATTTGAGGTTTTTTTTCATGATTTCTTTCAAATTATCGTTATTTTGATTAGCCTTTTAATTTCTTTCATGTTTTCTGTGTTGATTCAGAGATGATTATTATTGACCAAATAAAATAAAATAATAGAAGATTAGAGTCACAAGTTGCTGATTATGCAAAAGTCATTGCGTAGCTTGAAGCTGCCAGAGCGAAAGTAAAGGTGTTGAAAAAGAAACTCCAAAGTCTGAATCGGAATAGAACAAGGAACAGAACGAGGAACAAAGTTTGAAATGGAGAGAGAGTAAAGGTGTTGAAAAAGAAACTCAAGTCTGAATCGGAATAGAACAAGGAACAAAGTTTGAAATGGAGAGAGAGAGAGAGAGAGAGATGAAGATGAGATTGTATATGTATATATATGTATATGTATGTACACATATAAAGTTTGAAATGGAGAGAGAGAAAAGAAGAAGATGAAGATTGAGAGAGAGAGAGAGAGAATTGGGTTTTCCTTGAAATGGAGAGAGAGAGAGAGAGAGAGAGAGAGAGAGAGAGAGAAGAACAAAATGAAGACGAGGGTATAATTGTCAATTTCCAACTTCTGTTAACAGAAGTTAGTGTGTGTTTTAGTCCATCAACCACAAGGGGGTTATGTGGTGATATTTGAACGTTAGGAGAGGTAATCTGCAAATGGCCAAAACCATAAAGGGGTAAAGTGAAGTTTGCCATAATATATATATATATATATATTTAAATTTCAACCTTATAAATTTATAAATTTCAACTTTACTCAACCTTACTTTAACTATCCCCTTTAAATATATATATATATATATATTATTTCTTTCAATGACACATAGGGAAAAAGTAATAAAAAAATATATAGCACAACAACAGTTCCTCGCTTCAAGTAGCTAGCAACCGTTGCTTGTATGAAATTGTTGAAGCATCTAATGAGGTTGTTGAAGGTCTTTTTTTTATGCTTTGGCTTGCTATTTTGGTTGAAAATAGGGTATAGCAGGGCTCTTGGAGATGCTCTTATACTTTAACTACCTTCTCTAAAAAAAAAAAAACTTATTTCTTTCATTCTTTTA